CATAACTGTTCATCAGTGGTGAACAGCAATGTTGCAGTGTAAGCTGAATTAACCTTTCCTCCACAACTTGCTTTATAGACCTGGGACTTAAAATGTTTCATCCTTGACTTTAACCATGCTATCTATAATGAATGGCATCAGTTGCTACTTTGACTATGAGAAAGCTTATGGGAAACTTTCTTATGTTGTAATTGCCAGTATTTGTTTTCCTTTACTTTTTTTTTCTGTTCTCTTCATTCTTTTGAATTATTGACAGTCATGTGGAATTTCCAGTTTTTCTTTCAGCTAGCTGAGCTTTGTTGTCTTCTATTTCTCTTAATGATTTCATCTCTATTAGATTTTAGCTGGTTTTTGTTTTTTAATTTTGGAAGCACCTGGATTGCCTCTGTGTTAAGATAGTTTATCTTTTTAAAGTTACACTTATTGTGTGTGTTTGCTCATATTAGTGATCCTGTGACCCACAGAGTACAGGTAGAAGTCAAAGAACAACTTACAGGGATTTTTCTGCTACCAGGTAGGTTCTAGGTTTGAACTCAGGTCTTTAGCCACTTTCAGTCATTTGCTGGCTCTAGTTGTATTCTTCTATTCTTTGAATTACCTTTGTCTTTAGCTTGTCATTTTTTGTTTTGTTCATGTCTGAAATTTGATTGTCCTTCATTGTCTAATTCATATTAAATTAAGAGACTTTTTGGTAGGTCTGTGTTTGTAGGGGCCTTCTCAAGTTGTAAGTGTTGGCTTCAGTTCGGGTTGATTGGATGCAGAGCTGTTTTTTTTTTTTTTTAAGAACTGTCAAGTGCTAGTATGAGTGTCTTTCTCTGCAGATGTTCAGTTGCCTTCATTCTGAGAATAGGAAGGAGTGGTTAAGTGGAGCAGGAAGTAGTTTACCTCTTGTTGGGCTTGACCATTCATCCCTTTTACTACTGGGCTCCACCTCAGCACCTGTCTTTGTTTCATCTTCACAACTCAGACTTTTTTTTTTTTTTTTTTTTTTTTTTTTTTTTTGTTTCAATGCCAAGAGTGATCAACTTTGGAGGAGACAATACAGGATTTTAAATCAAGGGCATACTTGTAGTTAGAGTAGTTAGTTGAGAACATATTTCTTATTTTAAATACTTTTACTTTGGTGAGAGTTTGGATTAGGTGATGTTGGTACCATAATGTCATGATAAGTGTGATCACTTCATGTGCTGTCAAGTTTTTGTTTTGTTTTGTTTTTTGTTCACACCCGTGTCTCAAGTTGAAATGTGATGGTAGAATTGTAGAGCAGTGTTGTGCAGTACACACCACTGTACAGTAGGAACAGAGTGTTGGTTTCTTTTGTTTTGTTTTTCAAGACAGGGTTTCTCTGTAGCTTTGGAGCCTACATTGGAACTCCATCTGTAGATTAGGCTGGCCTTCAACTCACAAGAGATCTGCCTGCCTTTTCTGCCTGCCTCTGCCTCCTGAGTGCTGTAGTTAAAGGTGCTACCACCCAGTGGAGTGTTGATTTCTTGAACTGTCTAATGCTGCTTGCATTTCTACTATCCTAGTCTATTCCTCATGCAGAAATGGGTTCTAAGTAGTAGAACAGTATTATTGATGTTTATAATCTTTTAGTGTCTGGGAAGAGTACTTCATTTGAAGCAAAGTTATGTTAGATAGTAGCAAATAGCTAGCTTGTTGCAGCCTTATCTAGACCAGTGTATCTTTGGGGGCAGTTGAGTAGAGCAGAATTCCTGAAGAATGTTAAAGATGACCTTAATAAAAACAAGTTGCCAGTGTTATCTGGTGATAATGTTTATGTGACTAACTCTAGAACCTATAGGAAGAGTTATTTGTTTGTTTCTTTGTATCCACAGTAGACTGTAGTTGGTTGGTTTTTTATTCCTTGACCTGCTACCCAGCTCCCAAATAAATCACACAGTCTTAATCTTATGAATGCCCAGCTCTAGTGTGGCTTATTTCTAGCCAGCTTTTTAAAAATTATCTATCTTTTGCCTCTGAACTTCTACCTTTCTCTTTCTATGTATCTTTCTTGTTACCCCATGGCTTGCTGTAGCTGGGTGGCTGGCCCCTGGAGTCCTCCTTTCTTATCCTGTTCCTCCATCCCATTCCCAGATTTCTTCTCCTGTTCTCTCTGCCTGCCAGCTCTGCCCATCCTTTCTCCTGCCTTGCTGTTGGCCGTTCAGCCCCTTATTAGACCAATCAGGTGTTTTAGATAGGCAGAGTAACAGCTTCATTTAGGCAATGCAACAAATATAAAAGAATGCAACACATCTTTGCATCATTAAACGAATGTTCCACAGCATAAATAAATGTAACACAAGTTCTCTATAGTGTCTCCAAACTCCCAAACGTAGAAGTTTAGGTAAAAAAGAAATGTAGCTTCACTAGGTTTCAGATGGCTGCTCCTGTCTATTGGCAAATCAAAACATTACAAAGTAGGTGGCTCAGAGTTAGATTTGTTCTTATCAGTAACGGGCTATTTACAATGGACAGTTCTCCTAGTAACATCTAAGTGTTAGGTTCTGTGTCTATTTTCTTTTTTTGTGTATGTTTTTGTTTTGAAATGATCCTCCCATTTCTGGAGTGCTGAAGTTAAAAGAATATACCTCCATATCTAGTTACTGCTTAATGTGATGCTATCAACCCAGGGTTTTGTGCCTGCTAGACAAGCACTCTACCTACAACCTAGCCAAAAATTGATTCATCTTACAAATAGGATTTTGCTTCTTAACTACTCCCATAGTTGTTTATTAGAATACATCATCTTGTTTTCGTTCCTGCCATCTACTCCTATTTTTGAGGACTTCCTTCCCACTCTGAAGGTTTTATTCTTGGCCTTCAGCTCCTCTGACCAGTGCTTTAGAGTTCAGTCAACTCCTCCTGATGGAGTGAACAGTGCTCTACCTGATCCTCCCTCCTTCCTTCCCTCCCTCCCTCCTAGCTACTCACCTACCTACCCACCTGCCAGATTTTTCATCATGCATTTCAGGCTGGCATTGCATTTACTATGCAATTGAGCCATCCTCCTTCCTCAACCTTCTAAGTGCTAAGATTACAGGTGTGCACCACTATGCCAGGCTGTAATAATACAAGACTTTGTGGGTTTTTTTTTTTTTTTTTTAACAGAAGTAATAGGGATTGAACTTGAGGTCTTGTACAGGCTAGGTGAGTTGTCAAACACTGAGCTTAAATTTCCTCAATAGAGATTTAGAATATTAAGTCTTAGAATTTTTTTTCCCCTTCAGTGTTGGGGGAGTCAAACCCAGTATAATACATGCTAAGCAAAATGCTAGACCATCTATATTGTTGGCTCTGTGATTCATTTGTCAATGAGACTTTCACATCTCTATTTCATCTTTACCTCTGTAGTCTACAGTTTATTCATTGTATGGTCTACAGTTCTTTTGGTTCTGATACAAATAGAGTAGTATATTATTCAGTTCCATACAACACATCTCATTGCCCTAAAAATCTCACTCTTATCCCTTTGTAGATAAGCCTTCTCCTTAATGACAACTCCCCGGCAATCTCTGATGTGTTTTCATGCTATTGTTTTGGCTATGTTAATATTATATACATGGAACTCTTATAAGTATGGAGACTTTGGATAAGGCTTCTTACATTTAGCACTGCCCCTCACCCCATGGTGTTGATAACTGGACTCAGGGCTTCTCATATACTAAACAAGTATTCTACTGAGCTACATCCCCACAATGTACTTAAGATTATGCTATTATGAAACTGAGTGTGTTGGTGTACAGCTGTAGTCCCAGGACTTGGGAGGTAGAGGCAGGAAGATCAGGAGTTGAAGGTCACCTGTGGCTACATAGAGAGTTTGAGGGCTACATGCGACCGCCCCTCCCTTTTAAATTCTACTATGTTTTGTGAGTCAGTAAGTCATTAAGTGCTCTTTAGCATATATTTTATAGCACTAAAATTGAATTGATTTAGAGAAAATTGAATAATAACAATAGCAGTGGTTAATATATAAAATATTGATCCTTAATGGCTAAGGTTACACTTTAGGAATATAATAGCAAGGTTTTCTGTCTAGAATTAGCTGTATTTTTTGGAGGACGCCACATAACTGGTTTTTGGTAAAGTAAGCAATAAGATACTTGATATGGAAGTTGTTACCTCTTATCTTCCTGGGTATCTAGGGGTCCTTGAGTAGCTCTTTAACATCTGCACCTGTCACTCCTGAACCCATGGTGAGGTTTTGAGTTTGTCCACTGGAATGAAGTGAGCCTTCAATGCAAGGTTTCTAGGTCATTGTCTTTTTCCTTGGGCTTGTCAAGTTCCAAGTACTTCTGAGTGGTACTGTGATACCAATAATCTCAGTACATTTTGTGGGAGCCCCTTTTGAGAATAGTGTTATTTAAATCTCTGGTCCTGTAGTCCAGCCATTGGGTAGATTTTTTTTTTCCCCCTAAGGGTGTCTATAAAATAGATTAATTATGGAAGCCCATAATTAATCTGGGACCTTCTTGTAGTTCATTGATGGCTCATTATGTCACGTAATTGTGGCAATATGTACTTTGAGGGTCAGCCTATATTTGAGAATGCTTCACTGGTGATAGAAGCTTACAGCAAATTGGGAAAGTAGCCAATGGCTGCTTAACATTCCAAGCTTGTATATGTGTGTGGGGGGTATACCCTCACTTGCTAGTGTGTACGTGTGTGTGTGTGCGCGCACACACGCACAGGTGTGCTTTTGCTTGCTCTCTTCTGCTCATTCTCTTCCCATCTCCTCTTTCTCTCTTCTCTCGCCCCCCCCCCCTTCCTTTATTTGACATTGTCACCTGAGCTGTCTCAGAGCTCACTATGTAGATCAGGCTTTCCTAGAACTCAGAGATACCTGCTTCCTCTGCCTCCACCTCCCAACTTTCCCTCTTTTTAAAATTAAAATGGGGTGGACAAGTAATGGAAGGATAGATTTTTGAATGAGTGTACACTTAATGTGATTTGTATTTCCATTGGCACATAAAGTAATTTTATTGTACTTTTATTTGCAGTAATGAATGTTATAACAATTGAAGATTATAAGAGCACATACTGGCCAAAATTAGATGGTGCCATAGATCAACTTTTAACCCAGAGTCCTGGTGACTATATACCTATATCCTATGAACAGATTTACAGGTAAGTGACTCACTGTTTAATTTGCCTGGTTTGAATGGGATTCCATTGCTGACGACATGAATGTGATATATAAAATATGTAAGATGAAGTTGGATGTATGTGTATATTCACCACACTGGTGAATTGGTTTGGTTCAGAAGTGGTTTTCAAATCAAGATAGAGTATACCATACTGTTAACTTCCTTCCCTGCTTGCTTGTCTGCCTCTGTCACATATAATGAAAAGCCTCCAAGACCAGTGAGAAAAATTAGTAAAGTTTTTAGGAGATCCTAGTTAGCCCTGTTGATGTTTACTGGCATGCAGTTCTAACTCTGTTAGATATTTTGTTACCTAGCTCATGGTAAATGGAATCAGTAGAGTAGGAACTGGGGGTAGGAAATGAGGTCACCACAGTGACAGGAAGAAGTAACAGCTGTGTTGTTCCCCAGACTGGTGTACAAGGAGGATGTATTGCAGACACATTTGTGAGTTGGAAACCTTCCCTCTTCTGGTTATCACTCTCTTCCTTATTTTGACAAGTATTTTTAAAAAGTGAAAGAGAGGCTGACTTACTTATAAGGAGTTAACACATTAGACCATAGATGTCATTTTAGATTATCTTAGGCTTTGTGTACTAACTATTCAGGTCATTTGAAGTTAGTTGGGAATGTCTTTTCCACCAGAGCACTGACTGGGGAGGGAGGGTAGGTTTTTCTTCCTAGTTTGTGGTTGATGCCCATTATAAGGTGTTAAGTTTTATTTTGAAAGTGGGATTGCTAGGAGTGCCTCTTTATTGATTTGGTTTCTCTGCCCGTTTCTTCTTGCAGTTGTGTATATAAGTGTGTATGCCAGCAGCACTCGGAACAGATGTACAGTGATCTGATTAAAAAGATAACCAGTCACTTAGAGCGAGTCTCCAAGGAGCTGCAGGTCAGTACTGCTTTGAGTGTTTCTGGTAGGTGGAAGGAACTAGGCTGCCTCATGAACAGTTGGGTTGTCATTAATTTGATTTACCTCACAAGTTTATACTTTGTAGTTGGATACTGAGTAAGTGATCTGATCTTTAGAATAAATGGTTTGAAAATTTGAAGTAAAATATGGGACTTTTTATTTGGAATATATTTCAGTTCATACCTGATACCACAATGTCAGCATTTCTTTTATTTAAAACCATGTTTTTCTCTGTTAACTTGATTATAAGTTGAAATTAAATAATAGATCCACCATTTTAACTTTTTTCATTTGTGTTATCTTTCAAGAGTGAGTGGTTTGCCTTCCAGTTTCTGACACTTTCAGTATGAACAACCAAAGCTATGGCAAACTCTTGTAGGTGGTCTTACTATCTGGGTGACAGCAGATAACCCTCCGTGGGTGCTGGCCCCAGACACTAGCTTTGTGCTAGAGCCAGGTCACACTTGGATTCTGGTTTGAAGTTCAGTAGGTGACCAGGGTTCCAGCCGAGGTGAGGAACAGCTCCAACAGTGGTTTGTTTTTTTTTTACATTTTATCTTGTATGTGTTGGGGAGGGGGGTGAGGTGCGTGTGTGTGTGTGTGTGTGTGTGTGTGTGTGTGTGTGTGTGTGTGCATGTGCGTGTGTGCGTGCGTGCGTGCGTGAGTGAGCACAGTTAATTTTCTTCTACTGTGTGGTCCTAGAGCTTGGTGTGAGGCATCTTCTCATCTTTGCATGCTGAGCGACCTCATTGGCCCAACGGTTTTTTTCTTTTTTTTTTTTTTTTTCTCCACAATTACTGACATAATTTTGAAAAAACCCATTAACATGTATGTACTGCCTAGGTTCATGTGTCAGTTGTAGATGAAACCCCAGAATTTTTTATTATTCCTTAAATAGTTTGCTTTATTTCTGAACTCCCCTTCCTCCTCATTCTCCCTAAAGGCAGCTCAGGGCTCTAGTCCGTGTCCTGTGTACTTGCCCTTGCCCTTCCTCTGGTTTCTATTCCTGACTTTTTTTTTTTTTTTTTTTTTTTTTTTTCTGATTGGGTTTTGCTGATTGTTCTTTCTTCCTTTATGTATCCAGTTTTTGACTGATAATGAATGCTCTCCAGCTTTTAAACTAATAACACTTAAACAATGAATCACAAAGATAGCAGGTTAGACTCGCAAATTTTAGTCATCTGTGTCAGAGTTTGTGTCTCCTCACCCTGCTAGTGCAGTATTTTCAAAACTGAATTTTGACTTCCTATTAGGGAGGACTTATTAAAGGTTGAAACAGTGTAAAGGCACTCTTTTTAGTATGTAAGAAACTGACAGTAAATGTAAAGGTATATATGATGTAAAAAGGTATATATGGTGGAAATTGTTTTTAGAGTCAATGCATGTCCCACTGAGTTTGAAAAATACTTTTTTACCCCCCTTGGTGTTGTGGGGATTGTGCATGCTAAGCAAGTGTCCCCCACTGAGCTGTACTGCCCATGAGACTGCCTCACCTCAGCTTCACCTAACAAACACCTGCTGAATTGTAATTGTGCCAGGCCACCAGTGATCCTTCTGCCTTCGCTTCCTGGGTCCTGACATTATGGGCACATTCCACCCTGCCAGTCTTTGAATTCTTTTGTAACATGATAACCAGTTTTAAAGAGCTAGGCAGAGTAGGTAACAACACTGGGACCGCAGATCCTGGCCTCAGCTGTCACTTATCAGTTGTAGGTCCTTTCGTTAAACATGTTCAGATCATCATCGTCTCAACTTTTTCAACTTTAAGGTGAAGTAGCTTTATTGAAATAGCTGTGCCTCCTTTACACTAAGTTGTAAGATACTTTTTTCTTCTGCTACCTGCCTTGCAAAACCTTCTTTCTCAGAATTGATTACTGTTTACCTATGGACAGCCTTCCTGAAATTATTGTGGAACAAAACAGACAGTTGGCATGTGTTTATGGACGACATCTAGCCTCTTAGCAATAACAAGCCTGTTATTGCTGGGGTTGTATTATTGTCTTTGTATTCATGTCTATTTCTATGGCTCTCCTGGGAGGCAAGGACTCTGTGCTGTTTCTCTTCTTAGTCTTAATAACTGGCATAATCATAACTCAGAAAACATTTGTTGAGTGAATGCTCATCAGCCTGAGTTTTGACTTGTACTAGGGGTAAAAGTATCATGACTGGTCTCTTTAATAACTGTTCTTCATGTTTTCTAGATGTTTAGGTAGTTTGCATGAGGACCAGAAGAATATTGACCAGTCTTAGAGGGCAGAAGAACATTGTATTTGGCTGGAGCCTGTTATTTGCAACCTGTTTTTTTTTTTTTTTTTTTTTTTTAATTCTTGAGCAAGAGTATTGTGGGATGATTTGTATTTGGTAGAGAAATGGATTGAGCATTGCAGTTGACAGATCAATGGGTTGGACCCACAGAGCTTCAGTTCAGCCGCTGTCAAGGGCATCTTAAAATAGCTATTGGTTTGACTTATTTATCCATGTTTAAAGGGTACCTTAGAGAATATTGTTTTCAGATTTCATATATTAGTCTGTCTAACTTAAATATTTTTGTATGGTATCACTAGCTAACTTATGGTTTTAAAGCACACACCCCCACATTCCCACATACAAATTTCATTTTGGAATAGTGTCTTTCCACCCTTTCAATAACTTAAAATGTTGCTTGTTGAAGTGGTAAAACAAATAAAACAAATAGCTAAACCCATGTGGTAGTTTTCTTACTTGTTGCACTTGATCCTTGTCTATAGTTTCTGTTTGACATTGTGAGAGTTTATCCTGCCTAGGTTTCATTTTTTTAAAACCCTCTTCCTATAACTCCTGTCTCCTTTAAATGTCATAAGTCAATTCAGTTCCCCCCCAATATCTCCAGAATATTTGAATTTTTAAAGGTTTTTTTTTTTGATTCTCAAATTAATGGAACTAGTTATACAGAATTTTTTTAAAAAAAACAAATTAAGCAAATAATCTGCTTAGTTTTTGTTTCTAAGACAGGATCTTAGGAATTGAAAGTGTGCAAAGGTATGCACGACCACTCCTGGCCTAGCTGCTTAGTTTTGCAAAGTTCTGTTTAGATTTATAGAAATCACTGTTTGGGTTAAGGACCTGAACCAGAAGTTCAACATGCCTGCTGAGTTGTCACATTTGTAGCCAGGCTTGAGATTCTACTGCTTGTTTCAAGTAATTGTAGTTAAATTCTTAAATTATAAAACAAAAAAACAAAAATCCTAAAACAGAAGACAAATGAATTGTTTTATTAGTTGCAAGCATTTCTGGTGAGGAATTTTATATCTATCTATTAGGTACAGTGGAGATGTTCTTGGTAAGGTGTGGTTTGGTTCAGTCCTACTGAACAGTTTTCAAAAACCAGACTAGAACTAAACAGAAAACTGGGGAATTAGAGGATCAAGAGAGGATCTTGGCATTTGAATTGTCCGCTTGCTAGGGCCACCTATCTCTTCTGTAAGGGGAGGAGATAAATTCTGAAATGTATTCTTGTACTCTACTAATGAGCTACATTTCCAGCTCTGGACTGTTGAATTTAATAGAGCTCTGATAGACTTGAGGGGAAGATATAATAAAATTGGATGTCAAAGCACATCGCACTAAAGGAATAGGCCCCAGCAACAGTAAGGATGAGTGACAAGCTGTAGATCGACCTCCTCGGTCTTTCTTCATTCTTAGATTTTGATGGTCTAGACTGGCTGGCACCTTTAGTCATGAGAAGCGAAAGTAGATCCTTTCTGGAGAAAATAAACCTTCCCTAGGCATGAAATTTTCATAATCAGTGTCTGGCATGCAATCAGAATTAATCAGTCAAGAGTCAGAGTTTTGGTGATTCTCAAGTCTTGAGAAATACCACATAAGAATTGAGAATTCATCACCAATAGTCTCTTTAAGGAAATACTGCAGATCATTCTTCTGATAGAAAGATGTCTCCATGTGATGGTTTTTGCATTATCTTGTTATTTTGTCATGTTTAGCAGTTAATATCTTAGAAGCCCGTTCTTTCTAAATGATGAGACAGAAAGGGAGAGGATCCAGAGGGGAGGTCAGGTGGGGAGGAACTGGGAGGAGTAGAGGGTGGGGAAACAGTTAGGATATGTTGTATGAGAAAATAACCTATTTTCAATAAAAAGGGAAAAATAGACTATCCTTATGTTAGGAAAATGTTTAGGTGAAAATTTGGTGATTCAGATTGGTGTAAAGAACAATAACAAAGACAACACAGGTAAGTATATCAATTATGGTAATTTCTATTTTTGCATTTATCTATTTGTGTATTTATGTGTGTGACAGAAAGGATCATCTGGGGGCAGGGAGACTCACATACTGCAATGCACCTGTAGAAGTCAGAGGATAGTTTGTAGGAGTTGGTTATTTTTACCATGTCAGTCCTAGGGATCAAACTAAGATCTTCAGGCTTGTTGGGCCATCTCACTGGCCCAAATGATGTTATTTTCTTAGAGGGTATAAAAGATACTTGTAACCAAAACTCATGTACTATTACATAAGGGTTTGGAAACATTGGTTTTTTTTAAGGTGTCTTAAGGACTTTGTATTATTAGAAAAGTGGCAAAGTACTAATTTATTTTAGACTCAAGTAAGGCAAAGATATAATCTGTAAATAAACTTGGGGTGATCTCAAAGGGGGATAAATAGAACATAATAATAGAGGGAGAAAATATAGTAATTAAAAAATAATCAAGCCAAGAAATGGAGGGAAGGTCACAAAGAACAGATGAGGCATAGACTAATAACTTAAACTTCAGGCCTGTCTATCTTATGAAATGTTAAAAGCTAAGTACTATGTTAAGGAAAAGCAATTATCAGAAGCATATGTTGCTGCCAATGGCACAGCTGAAAGATATGGATAAAGAAGCAGAAAAATTGAAAGTAAATGTTGGAAATGTTAGACAGGCTGGGGAGGTGGCTCTTAAGTCCCCAGAGCCCATTTATAAGCTAGACACATGAGACCAGGG